TGGCTGATATTGGTGTCTGCGGAAGGTTTTTGTCTATTATCACATCAATGTATGATAAACTGTGTGCCTGTGTTAGAACATCTACTGGGTTATCCAAATACTTTAAGTGTAATATAGGTACCCGTCAAGGATGCATCCTCAGCCCTCAGATGTTTTTAATATTCATAAATAAACTTATTGAGGACAAACCGTCTTTATTACTGAAGACTGACCAGCAATATATGCACTTATGTTTGCTGATGACGTGTCATCTATTACTGATACACCTTTAAATTTACAAAATAAGCCTTGGAACATTTTTGCAATACCACAGGCATGAAGGTAAACTTGAAGAAAACTAAAGTTATGGTATTCAGAAATGGCGGACCCCTTAGACATTATGCAAAAATGGAAATTTAATAGTGTATATATTGAAACTGTGTCTTTTTATAGATATTTGGGTATTGTGTTCACGCCCAAACTTGTTTGGACTAAGGCACTAAATACTCTTGCTGCACAGAGTAACAAGGCCATTATATAGATATCAAAAGAAAGTTGGTAATATACCCTATCAAGATTTATTCAAGATAGTTGATGCTATGATTGTGCCTATCGTCTGTTACGGCGCAGAAATATGGGGCACCTCATATTGTAAAATTATTGAAGATGTACAGAATAAAATGTGTAAATGGTTTCTAAATACAGGTAAAACAACAAACAATGCAATGGTTTTAGGTGCGGAAGAGCCCCTCTCCAGCTTGTGTATACCACAAGAGCCATCAAGTATTGGTGCAGGCTACTGCGTTTGGACGAGCACAGACTGCCTCGCCAATGTTATTTAATGCTCAAATCACTGGACCATTCTGGTCGCACCACATGGGCTACTTACATCAAGAATATTTTGTATAAATTAGGTTTTGGATATGTATGGTTAACACAAGATGTTGGCAATGTGAAGATATTTATTCATCTTTTTAAACAAAGATTATTTGATAACCTTCAACAATCATGGTGTAGTTCTATCAAAAGTATATCTGATACCTTTTATTAGAAACATTTTAAATCCCCGTTAAATGTAGAAAAATATCTTACACTCTTCATACCAGTACGTCTAAGAATATGTCTGACTCGTTTCAGATGTAGCAAGTTTAAACGTGCAGTTGACTTGGGGAGATACACAAATGTCCCATACACTGAACGATTATGTAAATATTGTATAGAAAATGGTATATCTTTTATTGAAGATGAATTTCATGTTTTACTTGTATGTGAGCGTTATTCAGCCCTAAGAAATATGTATCTTAAACAGTATACCAAGTTTCAAACTGTAAAATCTTTTACTGAAATTATATCATCAGAAAACTTTGATGTTGTATATAACACATGTTTATATCTATATAAAGTCCAACAGTTAAGATAAACTTAAATCGACTACTTCCTTGGCATGCGTAGTTCATGCAATCAACCATTGTCTGTAGTATGGGCCAATGGCCTGCTTAATGAATAAACTGTCTGTCTGTCTGTCTGTCTGTCTTTCTAATTAAATAATTTTGCGCACTCAGTGTTTGACATCTTAATTTACAGTTGAAAAGGACCATTTTGGTCCCGTGGCTCTAAGGGGATGTGAAAAGTGAGGGACCATACGTCGTTCCATGGCACCACGAAGGCTGAATCAGATCACGAAAATCAAACATGAATCGGACATATTTTAGTGAAAACAGTTTTCTCTTTAGCCTGTTGCCAACTTTGTCGATGTTGTGCTGTTGCCATGGATGCAGCCACTGCGTCTTGGCTTGAAAGTACGTTTTTGTTCCTGCCTATCGATTTTACCTTCAAGATAATAATTAGCTTAGGACCGTCTTCACTTTCACCTATGAATGATTGATACCTGTTTCGCCTTGTAAACAACTGTGATAAAATGTGATAAAAACCTCGCTTGTCGTTTGAAGAAACGTTTAAACATTGTCCCACAGAACAAGGGAATGAAGAGAATGAATCAAAACATGTTGGTCGTCACAGTTTACTCAATTCAAACTTAGCAAATCGTTTTATAGTTTAATCAGTAAATCCGCTATCGTGTCACTAAATGTTCCGTTTGGTCAATCAGCTGATTGTCTTGTTTGTTCGCAGACCGTCGTCCCTTGCCCGGGTACTACTGTGCGGAGTCGTGCAACACACATTTACTTTTTACACAAATTGCGCGAGTAGTTGTGCTACCGATACGGCAGAACATTACCATTATCCCCAATAGAACACAAACAGAAACCACTGATAAAAACACGTGAGTGAAAATTCCTTAAAGGCCCCCGCTAAAAGTCTCCTGAATCTATTCACGCGCTGTAGTTATTTACCTTTCTAAGTCAGAGTTTCCCAAACACCCACTGTGTACCTTTGTTCTTAGGATATTGGTATCATGGAACATATGTTTAATATTATACATTGTGTTATGGCTTCAATAGACAAACCCGATACATTTGGTATCAAGATCCGATAGATATGCAAATTAGGGCACGTGGCAGGAACTATATTTAAGGTACATACAACTTTTCAATGTCTGCTTGCTTAATAGTTATTAACTATCGTTTCGTCAGAGCATTCTTGTTGACTTTCTAAAGACATACATGGCGGTAAATCAATAGTCACGGTATGTGCAAAAGACAGTTTCCTGAAATATGTAGTCAAATGTGGTTTCTAGAGTTACATGTATTTAACATCAAATATTTTAAGAATGACATTTCATGTTTCTTATGTGTATGGTTCCGTATCATAATTGTCGTATGTTAGGAAGAAAACCCATGTCTTTCCAATACAATAAATGATCCTAATAAATGATATTTACCATACGGAAACACTTGGCCAGTAATGACTGTTTCTCGAAAAAGGTATGATATGCGTTGTGTGATATGAAAAAGTTACATGTATGTGTTTATGTGTAATCCAGAATATATCTGAGCGGTGGTAGGTTTTGCAGCGTGAAGACGGTGTCAGTTTCGTCTGCTGTTATCAACAAAATTCCTGATATGAAGTATACATTATTCTGATACTATTACTTTTCTTATCATTTCGAAGCACAGATTAGCAATAAGTGAGGGATTAATTGATCGCCTTGCCTACATCCCATCAGTGCTGTAAATATGCCAGGGCACACAAGGCTACAATCGATGATGTAGGAAATGTTAACTTCAAAATTAATGATCAGTAAACCCTGGTATATCCGATACAATCAGTGTAGTGTATAATACTATTGATTAATCTTGTTTCCTCGCTTTACAAACTATTTGACATAAACCCTGTTTGATCTTCATGCATGAAAGATGAGGATAGTTGAGGGGACTAATCTAGCCGATCCCATATGGATTTGGGAAATAACATGATAACCCACTTGAAGTCGAAAAGGCTCTAAATCATGCTATTTTTACAACAGAAGTTGGAGTTTTTGTGCTGTCCCCATCATCACTTTGTGAGAGGCGATGGGGCCACATAGTGGGTAAACCGTTCCCTCGTCACGCCGACGGCCCGGGTCCGATTCTCCACATGATTATAACATGTGAGGCTCATTTATAGAGTCCCCTTGCCGGCATATTGCTTGAACATATAACACCTTGTGACGCTATTTCCCACAGAATGTCTTCTCCTGTAAACATGTTCATGGCCATGTTTTTGTGGGCTAGCACATTCATTTTGAAATGGTAGCAAAGGACTATGGTTTGTCATAAATATGGGGATGATGCAATACATGAACTCGTAAGGGGGACAATACATTTTGGATAATACTTCTCCATCTGGCAACCCACACAGAATATATGTCAGATATTCTTGATGTGTGGGTTATCACTATCTTCAATCGATACCTTCTTTTAAATGTTTGAACATTGTATGCAGATGTGATTTCGATCTTCTATGGCAAAGTGTTTCGTAGAATGGTGTGAGTGCATTGATTGTATGATTGTTTTCTTTTGTTGGGGTTATTTTGTCTCTGATTTGGTCATTGCTTTATTGAAAATTAATTCTGGATTCTGGTGTTGAAATGAACTTCGCTAGACTATCTCTCTCGTTTCCAGTTTGTTATAAATAAGAGAAATATTTCCCAAGTTGTGATTGTGTTTTGACGTGCTTGACTACCTTTAGCGTTTGTTATTAACAATGTCAGTTTAATATAGTTCTGCTTCTAGTTCGTCTACTATGTAATTATACTGTCTTCATCTGTATCACGTACACTTTTATTTCGTGTTGAATACCTTGTAGACTTGCCTTTAACCATCAATAACTACGTCTCCATAGCAGTTGATCATCAATATTACATCTGTGTCGAGTGTGTATTCATCAATAGTTTCTTTCAGAGTACGTGTCTTATCGTGCAAAACATGGATATTGAATTAATGTTATATGTGTTCAGGGGGCCAATGTATTGAGTGATTGGATCGATTTTAACCTGAATCAATTCCGACCTTTCAACAGATATTTCATGGTTTTACAATATGAAAAAAACATTATCGAATTTTGCTTGTTTACCTGTTCAGATTGACATTGTGTTTGTGTATATGTGGCCGTGACCCGATTGATTGTTTTCCCGGGTTCAGTTAAACTATTTATTCATTTGTTTTCCCACAAACCTTTTAGTTGTTGATATTTTTTAGACATCAATCCAAGTAATTTTGTTATACATTATTCTACAATGAAAACAAAATTCTGAATAGCAAACCGCAGTATATGATGTTGCTTGCTACAAAATATTTGAACAATAAATGTTGTACGATATACTTACATTGTCCTGTTGATATATCCGTGTTTTAACAATATTTATAGTGTTCAAACATGTCTAAATCTGTTTCAGAGGTTGGTGTATTGTACAACGTAATGAGCGAAGCCTCCTCTATGGTGACCAATCTCACAGCAGGTTACGTATTTCTTCAAATAATAACATGTTGGTCACAGATCTAACCTGACGTAATACATGTATGTTAAAGCAAAGCATTTGAATTCATTGCATAAAAGAAAGCAATCACGAATGTCTGCAACTGTTTTATTAATCTAAAAAGCTCAGACATATTGATGAAAGTCACAGTACATTACTTTACAGAGAGGTACATTCTCATATTCATATGGCTTATGGTGAGACGCTGGAAATTGGCTTCACATTTAGGGAGTCGAACCCGGGTCTTGAACGCAACGACTGAACCCTTTACCAACCAGGCTACCCCATGGCCCTAGTTAGTGATTAAGTGACACCATCACTTTAGAGATTCCAGCTTCTAACTTGTCCCCAGCAACCTTTACTGGTTACAAGAGGCGATTAAATTGGTTGAGTGGTCAAACTGGTTGATTTGGTTGATTGTGTGTCAACGTGCCACGACATGGTTGCATCATTGCTCACCACAAGGGTTAGCTGGACAAGGTTTTAAAAAAGATTGGATTATATAACTAGAACATTGCAGAATGTGGCGTTTCATAACTGACAGTCAACCCCGTCTCGGGAACACACCGCTTTGGCTCATCAAATCTCCAGTCACATTTCCTTTTATTCAGTTACACCTGTAAATGCCAATTATATGTGGGTGTATTTGAATCTGTATCTATCAGATGAATTGAGTCCTTCAAGCACGGAGAATGTTGGTGGCTAAAATTGTTTCCAAAAATACAGGAAGTTATTCTCTTGGCACAAGCACAATTTCCAATTTTGAGTTGATACTGATGTATTCTCGCGCTTGCAAAGCCTGCCACTATCTAGTGTACTTTGATTTTACATCCTTGTAGGTAGGTTATTTTTGGATGAAGACACGGTGTTTGCCTTGGTGCTGTGATATAGCTGTGAGTTTAATACTGCAGCATAACTAGAATTAGAGCATCTAACTGCATGTTGGGGATGGTGGAAAATTACATAACTTGCTATTATCATCCCACACTGTACCTGGCGGGCAGGTTTTTGGAAACATACCGTTAACTGAACACACCACATATTCATCGCAGCCTCCTGAGCAGGAGTGAAAGCTTCCGATGAGATCAACACACTCCGACACACATGAATCTGAAACAATACAGTATCTACATGTATTTTCACTCTGAATATAAATGTTATTCCACATTATCAGACATATTTAGTCATGTATATCTGCATATAACATGTGTTATTCGCTGAATTCATTTCTGATCTTTTAAGGTCAAATGGAAAGTTGCTACACACTAGTGTTGAAAGTGCTATCCTAACAAGAAATGTCACGTACAGACCTTATAGTAATGACTCAACATGTGATGTTTGCAAGAAGTGAAAATTATAATTCATTTGTCATCTGGATATATGTTACTAATACGATCTAATCATAACAATGAAATCCAAATATGGATATACTTAAAACCTTAGAATTCGGAATACCTTATTTCAAAAACGTTTATGATTATTTCAACTAAATCAATAAATGATTCAATATACCTTTTACAAATAATGAAAATAAATTTACAAATCTAAAAACATATATCAGTAATCAACGACTTGAAATGCTTACTTGTTTCAGTAGTAGTCGAGGCAGTCATTACAGTGGTAGGTGCTGCAGTAGTCGTTACAGTGGTGGGTGCTGCAGTAGTTGTTACAGTAGTAGTTGCAGTAGTTGTTACAGTGGTAGGTGCTGCAGTAGTCGTTACAGTGGTGGGTGCTGCAGTAGTTGTTACAGTGGTAGTTGCAGTAGTTGTTACAGTGGTAGGTGCTGCAGTAGTCGTTACAGTGGTGGGTGCTGCAGTAGTCGTTACAGTGGTAGTTGCTGCAGTAGTTGTTACAGTGGTAGTTGCTGCAGTAGTTGACACAGTGGTAGTTGCAGTAGTTGTTGCCGTCGTTTGTGCTGCAGTAGTCGTAACAGTGGTGGTTGCTGCAGTAGTCGTTAAAGTGGTAGGTGCTGCAGTAGTTGTTACAGTGGTAGGTGCTGCAGTAGTTGTCACAGTGGTAGGTGCTGCAGTAGTTGTTACAGTCGAAGTTGCTGCAGTAGTTGTTGCAATGGTTGGTGGTGCATCTGTTGTTACCGTCGTAGGTACTGCGTCAGGTGTTGTTGAAGCAGATGGTATATCAGTAGATAGTGCTGATGTAAGTACAGAAACAGAATCAGATTCAAGTTGCTTTCATTTCAGTATTGACAGTGTATGTATGCCCCATGTTATCAAACAGGGACTTATCAAAGCTGATGAGAAAAATGAAAAGTGTGTTGAGTACCATTTATGGACACTATTGCAGAGCGACTTTAGCGTCCCTTACAGGGTGGGTGAGGTCACGTATCACATTGTGAACGTGTTAGTGTTTGTGTTCTGTCAAAACAAAAGCTTAACACAAAATTAATCATTTTCCTTTTCCAATAATTGTAACAGCGTCCTTAACATGTTTAAATCGCAATCACATCAGAGCAAGTTAAGGTTCCAGACATGTTTGGCATCTAATCATGTTTAGGCCAAATGCGTTACAATTATGGACCATTATGTGCTTAGCTTGGAGTTTTAGGATCTAAGCATATGTTTTCAATCAAAAACTGTGTGTCAGTGAAACTAATAACGGTTTCAATTGATCAAGGAGTCAAATAAACCAATATAAGCATACTATTACATTCTTCATGCCGATCTACATGATTTTATTATTCTGTTTTACAAACACCAAATGAACAAAAACAATAAACGACAATGGCAATGTGTCTATTAAAGTATCTACTAGAAGGGAGATAATTCGCTGAATGCCACCATTGGATATCAATACCACCTTTTATGCTTCACCGCGTCAGTTAAACAACTCAGATCAGGATGTCAGATGTGCTGACAGTGTGCTTCTTTCCGTTAGGGACTCTCCCGGAATGAGCTCCAGGCCATACCTACATGTACCACTGCATAATAGGTCTCAGTAAATCCAGAATTAGCCATTGCTCTTGATGAAAGTGTTTTTCACTTCTCGTGTAAGCAAAACCTCTAACTATATCCATTTCTTCAGATACAGGTCTGGTGTGCAAAATGTATTATTACTGAGTGTTACACAGATGCAAAGTTACTGACTCGACCTGAACCCCATCATCAAAATAAACGAGCTAAATTGTGATATGAGCAGCAAAATTTCAACTCGAATCATGCATTACAAAGACCGCATATAATTAACTACCATATATTGATGATTATCATGACGATCGTCATTGAAACAATATTGCTGTATTCCAGAATATTACAAATGTCATTGTCCACACAGAACTCAATGCCGAATTAATGTGTTCTCATAATGTTTGGGAATCTAAACGTGTTTAGAACATAGGTAGGTTGTGTTTAGTTTAATGTAATCGGTACTGGTAACATTTCACGTGGTTAAGTTCTAAACACATTTCGATTGAATAACAAAACAAATTCACTTCTGTTGGGAATGAAACACATGTCAACGAGTTCATAAGTAGTGAGTGAGAGAGTGAGTTGTGTTTAACGACGCTTTTAACAGTATACCAGTTATATCACGGCGTGTCGGCTTAATGTGGGAGGGAAGCCCAACGGGATGCAGGTCTCAAACGTTTACCAATTCGGTGAAACCCACGAGCACGGGGGTATGGGCACAAAGTTAGAAACATAATCGGGGCGAACGGGGATTCCCACAATCATAGGTTTCTGGCGTGCCCAAGGGACGCAACTCTGTACAGCGAATCGCGTCGCCTTGGACGACTGGGCCATCCGTGCCCCCAGTTCATAAGTAAACATGTCTTGCATGTGTTTAATGCCATGTGTACAAGATAATATATGTGGAGTAGACGTTTCACAATTCAAATGTACATCCCAAATTTGAGTATTTCCGGACCAATATATAAAGTAAAGGGAGACATCATATGTGAGTGACATGTTGTGCAAACGCTTCTCTGTTACGAAACATATTGACCTGGACTCGTAAATGCCCTCGACTGACATCTCCATCAATGCTTCGGGAATCATTTAAAACACAAGTGTTTGCCATACAACCAGTAACCAACAAAGACAATTGTGAATAATAATATTTTTGTCCAGATAACGCGACAGGTTACTTCAAGGCCTTTTCAGAACAAAAGTATCCGAGTCAGGACTTACTGACTGCCGACAATGTAGTTATGTGCATTACTGGCTCGAAGTTCATTCCCCTTACACGCATGGGCACCTTACACGTTACGCAACCCGTGTGCACCCCGTTGGTCACTGGTGTGGAACCCGTCCGCCACGCGTTGAACGCGGGTGAGCACCTCGTTCGTCACTCGTGTGCAACGCGAGACACACTCATTAGATTGGGAACAAACGTTTGACCAAAGGAGGACCCATGTTAAGTTGAACTTGGTGGTGGTAACAAGGAGAGACATCCTGACCAAAAATGCTGATACACATGTTATTTTCTGTACTTGCTGATGTCTCATTTTTAGATGTGTGATTTTGTAGGAAAATATGAGTATTGGTGTGGCTTCTACATGATGTTTTGCGATGGTGTCAAGAGAATACACGATCCTAGTTAATGCCATTCAAATGGGGTTTTTTTTATTTGACATTAAATGTCTGTAGCACGACTTTCAGTGTTTATGAGGCTTGGCGGGGCATTGTTTTTATTGGACCCTAATTACTTTATGACGCTTGAAAAGTGCAGCATTTAGTTAATGAGAGTAGGTTATATCATGGAAGATACACTTGAGGGAGAGGGTTCTACTAATTACCCTACCACAGGAAGAGACCTGTAGATAAGATGGCCGTTGCATAATGGCCGTCAGGAGAGATAAACATTGAGCTAAAGCACTTTTGTTTTCACGCGTTGTTGAATAGTTTCCCAGCGCTACAGTCAATTTAGCTTCTACTTGATCCTTGATACATCATTTTGGCATTAACAATATATTATTTTCAACGTACATTATTAGTTTTCTAGTCATTTGTTTTTGAATATTTGTCAAGTCTGTTTAGCTAACAAGCAATAATGGTAATATATATGGTGGCATGTAAACATAAAACGTCTCACGTAAAACGTAGTAAGTACAATAGTAAATACAATTATTCAAATCACATAACAATACAATTATAACAAGATACATATGTTATTCTAAAACCTGTGTTCCACATTCAACATGAGCTGTCCCACTTTTAAAATACCAATGTAAGCTACTGTAGCAGGAACATGAGCTCTCACACTTTTAAAATGCCAATGTAAGCTACTGTGGCAGGAACATGAGCTTATCAATTTTAAAATACTAATGTTAGCTACTGTGGCAGGAACATGAGCTTATCAATTTTAGAACACTAATGTAGGCTACTGTAGCAGGAACATGAGCTTTCCCACTTTTAAAATACTAATGTAAGCTACTGTAGCAGGAACATGAGCTGTCCCACTTTTAAAATACTAATGTTAGCTACTGTAGCAGGAACATGAGCTTTCCCACTTTTAAAATACTAATGTAAGCTACTGTGGCAGGAACATGAGCTGTCCCACTTTTAAAATACCAATGTAAGCTACTGTGGCAAGAACATGAGCTTATAAATTTTAAAATACTAATGTAAGCTACTGTGGCAGGAACATGAGCTGTATCAATTTTAAAATACTAATGTAGGCTACTGTAGCAGGAGCATGTGCTGTATCAGTTTTAAAATACTAATGTAAGCTACTGTAGCAGGAACATGAGCTGTGTCAGTTTTAAAATACTAATGTCAGCTTCTGTAGCAGGAACATGAGCTGTCCGACATTTAAAATACTAATGTAAGCTACTCTAGCAGGAACATGAGCTTTCCCTCTTTTAAAATACTAATGTAAGCTACTGTAGCAGGAACATGAGCTGTATCAATTTTAAAATACTAATGTAAGCTACTGTAGCAGGAACATGTGCTGTCCAACTTTTTAAATACCTATGTAAGCTACTGTAGCAGGAACATGAGCTGTCCCGCTTTTAAAATACTAATGTCAGCTACTGTAGCAGGAACATGAGCTGTCCCACTTTTAAAATACTAATGTAAGCTACTGTAGCAGGAACATGAGCTGTCCCACTTTTAAAATACCAATGTAAGCTACTGTGGCATGAACATGAGCTTTCCCACTTTTAAAATACCAATGTAAGCTACTGTAGCAGGAACATGAGCTGTCCCAATTTTAAAATACTAATGTAAGCTACTGTAGCAGGAACATGAGCTGTCCCACTTTTACAATACTAATGTAAGCTACTGTAGCAGGAACATGGGCTGTATCAATTTTAAAATACTAATGTAAGCTCACGTAGCAGAAACATGAGCTTTCCTACTTTTAAAATACTAATGTCAGCCACTTTAGCAGGAACATGAGCTGTATCAGTTTTAACATACTGATGTCAGCTTCTGTAGCAAGAACATGAGCTGTCCAACTTTTAAAATACTAATGTAAGCTGCCGTAGCAGGAAAATGAGCTGTCCCACTTTTAAAATACTAATGTAAGTTACTGTAGCAGGAACATGAGCTGTATCAATTTTACAATACTAATGTAAGCTTCCGTAGCAGAAACATGAGCTTTCCTACTTTTAAAATACTAATGTCAGCCACTTTAGCAGGAACATGAGCTGTATCAGTTTTAACATACTGATGTCAGCTTCTGTAGCAAGAACATGAGCTGTCCAACTTTTAAAATACTAATGTAAGCTGCCGTAGCAGGAAAATGAGCTGTCCCACTTTTAAAATACTAATGTAAGTTACTGTAGCAGGAACATGGGCTGTATCAATTTTAAAATACTAATGTAAGCTTCCGTAGCAGAAACATGAGCTTTCCTACTTTTAAAATACTAATGTCAGCCACTTTAGCAGGAACATGAGCTGTATCAGTTTTAACATACTGATGTCAGCTTCTGTAGCAAGAACATGAGCTGTCCAACTTTTAAAATACTAATGTAAGCTGCCGTAGCAGGAAAATGAGCTGTCCCAATTTTAAAATACTAATGTAAGCTACTGTAGCAGGAACATGAGCTGTCCCACTTTTACAATACTAATGTAAGCTACTGTAGCAGGAACATGGGCTGTATCAATTTTAAAATACTAATGTAAGCTTCCGTAGCAGAAACATGAGCTTTCCTACTTTTAAAATACTAATGTCAGCCACTTTAGCAGGAACATGAGCTGTATCAGTTTTAACATACTGATGTCAGCTTCTGTAGCAAGAACATGAGCTGTCCAACTTTTAAAATACTAATGTAAGCTACTGTAGCAGGAACATGAGCTGTCCCACTTTTACAATACTAATGTAAGCTACTGTAGCAGGAACATGGGCTGTATCAATTTTAAAATACTAATGTCAGCCACTTTAGCAGGAACATGAGCTGTATCAGTTTTAACATACTGATGTCAGCTTCTGTAGCAAGAACATGAGCTGTCCAACTTTTAAAATACTAATGTAAGCTGCCGTAGCAGGAAAATGAGCTGTCCCACTTTTAAAATACTAATGTAAGTTACTGTAGCAGGAACATGAGCAAGTTACCACCGGTAGCTTGGACACTATCTCAAGTGGATGAGTGTGTGGGGGTCAGTAGTAGTTATATCACTGCACGATGGTTTAATGGTCCGGGATGCTGAAAGGAACTTAAGACTGTAGTACTATACATAATGTTTGTATTATTCGAAGAATAGAGATAAACGTATTGTGAATATTTTGAAGTATACTGCAATTTAATACCTATTTATTATACATGCACCATGCCAGAGTAAATTTATTAGTATTAAACAAATGAAAACGAACCTAAAATCTATTTTCAAATAGGTATCTATCTAAATGTCTTACCTCCGTACAGACACAAGAAGCTCGTCGCTGCCTCAGTTGGCACACACACCTCATCTACAGGACATGGTCGACTCGCGCAGGGGTGGTCAAAATTCTGCAAAAAATGTTTTCAGTAATCAGATGTAATAGAAAATATAAGGTTAGTCCCAGATGTGGCTTCTTAGAAACGGCTCCACCCCCATAGTTTTAACGAAACTTTTCTAACGTCAAAGCGCCTTGATGCTTGCTTCACTGTGCTCTAACTATAATGGGCAAAACTATTCGTATATACACTACACATGTGGACAGAGTAAATGTTATTTCTTAGGTATTATCCTACAAATAATATTACCCCGGAAAGTGCATTTTTTTAAAATCTTACGTAGCTTTACATCATCGCATGGATTCGGAAAAACGCAACCAGTGCTTTTTAAAAGGGTCATGGTGCTGCACGCACTGAAAGTGCAGCAGCACTATACACGGTGTTTAAGTGCAGGGTTTTTGATTGCCTGGCATCTGCGTTAATCGAACAATGACAGTTCAACAAGATTAGCAGAAGTGCAAAGAAACACCCTCATAGGTTTCTTGCAGGCGGAGGAATCCCGATCAGCTGTAGGTTTTCAATGTAGTGCCCAGAACCACAACAAGGTTATAGGATCGGTTTAACAGCGTGGGCTAACATGTGATCGGCCAAGGTCAGGAAGACCAAGGGTAACCGTCCCTACATCCGACCACAGCCATCTCAACCGCATCGCAGATACCTGGACTGCGCAGAATAATCTCCAACCAAACCGTACGAAACCGTCTAATAGCAGTAGGTCTACGAGCAAGACGTCCTGTTTGACGCATCATATTGAGTCGACAACATCGTCAAAGACGATTGCATTGATGTCGTCAACGCAGGGTATGGCCTTAACTGCGATGAAGAGATGTCTGGTCCAGCGACGAATGAAGATTTCTCCTCTGTTGAGGGGATAGAAGAGCACTGGTCTACAGATATCGTGGAGAATGTTACGGCGGAAACTGCGTACAGGAAGGAGACAGGTTTGGTAGGGGTAGCCTTTTGATGTGGGCGGCTATCTCTCATTATGGCAGAACAGATTTGGTCCATTTGCAGGCCAATCTGACGGCTAAACGATACATAAACGAATTCTCCTACCACACGTCCTCCCAATAGCAGACAATGGCAACGGTGTATTCAAGCAGGACAACGCTTGACCGCATCACAAGAGCCTGTGCACACAACAACAACGTTGATGTTTTCCCCTCCCTCCAGATCCCCGGATTTGAACTCGATAGAGCACCTGTGGGATGAATCGGATAGACGGCTACACCGACGTCAACCACAACCCCAGACGTTGCAGCAGTTAGTTTTTGAGTTGCAGGCCGAGTGGGCTACCATTCCCCAGGATGTGATTCGCATACTCGTCTCTTTCATGGGCAGCAGATGTCAGGCCACTATCGATTCCAACGGGGGACATATGCTTATTGGTAGTTGCTTACCTTCATCGTGTACTTTTCCGATGTGCCTTGTACGGTTTATATCTGTATAAACCTCACACAAATCTAGCTTTGCGTTGCTGTTTTCAAGAGTATATTAAACTGATAAGCTTTTAGCCTTTACTGTTTTGTTTCGGCATGCTTTCCATCTAACTTTAACAGAAATAAATGTGTCGTTAAGTGTACATGCCGATACGAATGTTCTGAGTGGTTTTGCTTGCACGCACACATATGCACGTTGTTTTCCTCATGTGATTTGAGTACTGCTGAGACCGCTATATTGTTTATCTGCCGATAAATGCCTCGTGTTTGGAAACACTCAATATCTTTTATAAAAAAACAAACATTTAAATTAGTATCCAGCCTGTTTTCATTTTTTTAAGAATCTAATGATGTTATGAGTGCTTATGCAAAATAGACATTGATACCCGTATTTTGTTAGTAAAAATAAAAGCGTGCATGACTTGAACATCCGTGCGTTCTTTTATGATTAAGAAACACTGTGCATCAAGAATCCAAATAGCAGGCTAACTGTCTTTCTCTTGAACGTGTGGTTTTATTTGAATGAAATTATAGAGGTAATCGTTCGTTATCTGTTCATCTTGCTTCTTGTTATATTTTTGAGCAAAACAAAAGAGAAGAACTCAATTTAAAAATCTATATCAATATATTGTATAAAATATATGGTCCTCACATGTACATTTATATGCTCTCTGACCCATAGCATTTATTCACCTGATGAAGGAGTAAGCGTGTACTCCGAAACGTGTCTCGTCATAATAAAGAAGTTTTTCAACTGATTTGTAGTAGAGTCATACAGCTTTATCTGTAAATGAGAAGATGGATAAATAAACTATTGCTTTGAAAAGTTATCCGTAATTTGTATTTGTTTGTTTTATGTTAAAAAGATACATATTATTTACTGTGTTAATACCATACAGCACTTCAAGTTTTAGAATGTAATTTACTCAGCACTTGGAAAATGGGGAGATGATACTTACTTACCCCCCACATCAAATGTTGTCGCATGAGTTTGGGTATCAGAGCATAACATTACAGCATTGCTTCACAGAAGATCGATCGGAATACATGATCATGAAATGCACTTCTTTCGTTGCACTTAAGTGAAGAGTCCAAGTTCAGCGAGTGCTGTGATGTTAAGTGACAATTCAGATATTTTTTGGTCAAAATTTCTGAGTGACAATTTACAATAATCTATACCCCTACAGGACTTGTTTTGTGCCATTACATGTTTCATAGATGAAGGTGCATTAGGAAGCATCTGTTTGATATTCCGGGAGTTGCGTTTTTTAATATTTATTGACGTGACATCGAATATATTTGTATATTTTTGTTTATTGTTTGACACCGCACTCAGCAATATCGCAGGTATATGACGTTAGTCTATCAATAGTTGAGTCTGGACAAGACAACCAAGCGATTGACATCATGAGCATCGATCCACGCAAATGGGATACATCTTGGATGCTGCAGTATTTTGTAACAATGATGGCCTCCCTTGCCCCAAAATGAAGTTTATTTTTAGTTTCACTCATTAAGTGTTAATACTTTCTATTCTTACGAGTCTTCAATTTCGTACATGACCATTTTGTTTCCATAGTATCCACATCCACATTGCCTCTACTGTACCATGCGAGACCTTGAACATATAATGTATAATAAGACTGAAAGGTCTAACGTATACCCAGACTGAACAGACCAGCGTATTCGCTATTTCTGGACGTCTACATTCATCCAGTCATATTCGAGGTTGAAATGCAAAGACAGATGACCGACACTCATCATGGTTGATATTCACAGAAATGAGAAACTTTTCAATCTTGTTTTAAACGTCTGAACATATACAATGTGTGTCATTCAGATGTGTTTTCTGTGGTACAAAAGAAAGACATAACCCGTCATCCAAGACCCGTATACAAAGGGGTAATAATATCATGACACCCGTGCAAATATGTACCTTGAACAACGACTATGGGTATTGTGGTCCAACAGGTGTTCATGGTTTTCTATAATTATAGTTTATAATTATAACGACAAAACCCTTTCCATATCCAATAGAAATATCATGAGCATGTGATGGCACCAGGTGTAAAGACATACGGAAATGAACTTGGAAATGAGGTCATTGGTTGAGTCATTGCTATTGTGACTCCGAATTGTTTTAGGTTGATGAACCGTTATGATATATGGATTTATTAATATTAACTTTCTTATCTCTGTGGTTGCAGAGTAAAAATGCGTTTGCTCTAAAATTAAAGGGCGTGTGCATATAAAAGGTCGTAGCATTATCACATAAAACTACCCACGGAAAACATTAAAATGTACAGGTGGACATTGTTATAATTGTTTGCAATGTATCCTCATGTCAGTCGTAAGAGGCGACTAACGGGATCGGGTGGTCAGGCTCGCTGACTTGGTAGATGCATGTTATCGATCCCAATTGCGTGGATCAATGCTCATAATATAAATCACTGGATTTTCTGGTCAAGACTGGATTATTTACAGACCGCCGTCATATAGCTGGAATATTTCTGAGTGCGGCGTAAAACAACAAACAAACAAAATCATTTCAGTATCAGGGCATTGTACTGACAGACTGACACCACTCCTGCCAATGGAGTTTGTAGCAACTGAGAAACAAGGGTACATCTAACTGATAGATAACAGGAAGTCACATACCAGTCCAAGTGGAGCCAGGGCGTCCGAGTATACATGATGCTGGCTGACAGAGAAGGAGCCAGGTGAGGTGTTCCTGGTGTCTCTGCTGAGCTGACACAAGCCTGTCCCTGTAGCAAACGTGGAGGACCTGCACGGAGTGGAGTACCAACACAGAGACTGACACAATGTGAAGCTGGGGACGCGAGTCTCTTTGAAAACACCAGACACGAGTTGTCCAGAGATGACATTCTGTCCATGTCCTTGAGCGACCATCACCAGCATGCACGGAATCATCAGTAACATGTTCAACGCCCTATTCAATGTGCAATAGTAAGAGGTATTAGAGCAGTAGGAAGAGGTATTAGAGCAACAGGAAGAGGTATCAGAGCAATAGGAAGAGGTATTTGAACAATAGGAAGAGGTATTAGAGCAATAGGAAGAGGTATTAGAGCAACAGGAAGAGGTATCAGAGCAATAGGAAGAGGTATTTGAACAATAGGAAGAGGTATTAGAGCATTGGGAGGGGGTATAAGGGCAATAGAAGAGGTATTAGAGCAACAGGAAGAGGTATTAGAGCAATAGGAAGAGGTATTAGAGCAATATGAAGAGGTAATAGAGCAATAGGAAGAGGTATCAGAGCAATAGGAAGAGGTATTAGAGCAATAGGAAGAGGTGTCAGAGTCAACTGCGATTGTTCCCGTCAATATCAGTCAGAACCGTCGGTGACAGTTGATGCCAAGAAGAAACTGAGCAAATCAATTATTGCTCTTTGTGGAATACTTCAGTTAATCCTGCCTGCCAACCAGCATATGAGAGATGTCAGTGGCTCAGTTATTTAAGTTGTGTGTTTACTTATATTGATTAACACAATAATCAATATACCTTCCTGTGTAGTAAGTTGGGACGACGCATAGCTATAACAATGACGTAAGGAACTCAATTACAGGCATGTTGTTACATTGTTTGTAGTCACTTTGTAGTTCTCCACTTTAAAATGCTGAACATCTTCTACCATTATCAGTATAGTATATCTTCAGTGCTATTCTGTGTTTACACCACTAGACAACCACGAGCAAGTACCTTTAATTGTTAATGTTTCTGTTTATGAAAACAACACTGGTACACATCTACTAACTGTGCCGTGACTTCCCTCCAACAATAAGCTGCGATTCCTTAGAGGGAACGTGGTACAACAGCGAGGTCAACACCGTGAATAGTCTTTTTTCACTTTGTACATCTTCCTTTGATACACTGTGATCTAAACAACAACAAAACGGGAACATGTTTTACGGACCATTAAATATTCGGGGATAAGTTGCTTGTTTGTTGTTTTTGAGACAGAATTATGTTTTTCAGTCAATACTTCTTCAAGGCAATCAGTTTAATTGATTTGTCTCAAAACATTTCATCCCCGAGTAATAATTGTTTTCGCACACCTCAGTGGTCATGAACGCTCGTCTTCAGATCGCAGTACCGCCTGCGTGGTCTAGTGGTAGAGCGTCCGACCGGCGTGCGCAAACGACGTTAAAAGAAAGTACTTGTTGTTACCCTGTCATTGCCGCTCGGCATTAAGGGGCTAAAAGAAGGACTGTTTGGCTCAGAGTCAGTATAATGTGTCTGAGTAAAATATTCATGTTAAACTGCATGGTATGTTAGTGGGCTAGCATTATAAAATCGGCATGACATGTGAGATTTTATACTTGCTACGGAACCTGGCAGCAGCCAAACATTCGGTACCATTAACTGTGTTCTTATAACACAATTAGGAGGCAGTTGTCTACAACGTTCATGGCCCGGTACAGATCTGTCTGAGAGACATGTACATGATCATCATACATGGAATTAACACTCAGTTATTCAACATGTACCGGTCCGAAATGACTGTCGGGAGATTGAAGACTGTTAAACACTTGCTGTTTATGGATCGGTTTTCCCAAAACACTGAAATAGTTATGCCAGGATATACATAGTACACCTATATTGTTCCCATCAACGTATTGCAACATAGCTTTACTGAATGCTTCATACACCATCACGTAACTTGTTTGATAGGCATTACTTAGAAGTTGGCGGATGACAAGATAGACACAATTTTATGGATAACAACTTCTTTAATACTGTAAAAAGCGACGTTTCGGTATAGATCCTTATACCGTTGTCATGCAAGACTGAATGAGGGACATAGTGCAGAATATATATAGCAAGTGGAGGATTAACAGTAACAACAAGGGCATACATGAGTGGGATAACAAGAGCCAACGGCAGGAACACATCTACACCCCAAGGTTAAAGGTGTAGTCTACAAAATTGACTGCAACTGCGGGCAATCTTACGTAGGTGAAACATCCCGCCCAATCAACACTAGAATCAAAGAGCATAAAACCTCCACCATCAAATCCGACAGCAAATCACCCCACCCACCTCGGCATTTATTCCAAATTTAAAAATTCCAAAAGTTCAATATAATTAAGGAACCCCTAAAAGCCCCCTCTTGGGTTGCACACACCACTTTCACCCTTTTTGGAATACACTAAATGGTCTGGCCAGGCCCGTGTGCGAAATACGCTACAGTCGGAAAGCGCACGTTAAATCTTCTATATCAGTCAGTCAGTCAGTCCCTCATTCAGTCTTGCTTGACAACGGTATAAGGATCTATACCGAAACGTCGCTTTTTACAGTATTAAAGAAGTTGTTATCCATAAAATTGTGTCTATCTTGTCACCATCACGTAGTCAGCAAGGATAAGCTATATGGATAAACTGCTTCATTACAATTAGGAGCGACTTTTCTGTGAAGGTTCAAAGACCGTTATCAAGCAAATGTTTGAACCTGCACCGAATGGATATTGCTGAGTGCGACGTTAAACAATAAACAAAAAAACCAAAACAAACACTTCAGGTAGCCTTTCTGTCAGACTATCCACGATCAAACGGCATTCCTGTTTCCAGCTATGGGTGTAGACCATGTAGAGTAGTATATCAGGCCACTTATAGGTGTCTATAACTGTACACAAAGGCACAACTACATGGGGACTTTCCATCATAAGCTAGTTGTTAAGAAATGAACGGGGAACGATGTACGTGGCTGCATTCATCATGTCCCATCTGCACCACAGCGTCTCGGTAATAATACAGTCAATACAAGCCAATCTAGTTTCAGAACACAGCGATCAATGCCACCGGAGTACGATGACAATAGGCCGTCAGCCAGGTCACAGAGCTTGATCACCCGATATTAGTCAGGCGCCTAGGGTACCTATTCGTAACTGTCTCCATGTTGGTGATTATGGAGACATCAACATTGTTATTCAAACTTCAATATTCTTAGATCGATTCATAATGTCGTTATTATTTTCTGATGAACGATCCCCCCTTGACGCCCACAAATCGTTTTCGTCAACACGTTTCCAATAACATGATTGGATTGCTTTGGATTATTATTATTGTCAAGGAACATATCTAAATTATACTTGTAATACCAAATAAGTGAATGAATGTTATGCTAACAGCTGGTCGGCTCTACTGGAGCAGGTTTGTCACAGTGACCTGGCGCATGCCTGAGAGTTGTAAGTCGATGTCGATCCTATGGCAGTGTCATATCAAAAGACGTTAGAATATGGTACTTATTGTTATCCTGCCTGCTTGGTGCTCGGCATTAAAGGTATAGAGCAAGGACTGGTCAGTTAGAAGGTATCCCCAGCAATGTGAGCTTATTGTGTGAGGCGAGTGGATTGGGTAGTCATGCTCAGTGTCCTGCCTGGACAGAGTGGAATATTGCTGAGTGCCGTGGCGCTAGGCAACGAACATACAGTTTTTGGCTATGTTCCTTTTGGTATTAAACATTTCTTTTCAAACGGTATGCAACCAAGGGAGCGACCATTTGATACTCCCTTTAGGGGGCTGGGAATCTGTGTCGAGAGTAGATATTTTTTTCAGCTTCAGCAGAAAAATCACATTTTTTGTTATATAAAACTATCAGCCTGATTTTATGAGATACACAACTTGCAACGATGTCATTTTTGTGACAAGTAATTGCTTCATACTTCAAAGGTATGAAGTGTAATTATTATTTTCATTAAAATCAGGGACAATATATTTTTTTCGATGGATAATGGAGTTAGACCCGCCACCGCCACGTCGTTCCTTATTGTAACAAAGACGTTTCCGTATCCTCCCTGATACTAGTACTCCAACTTCTAAATGCCCCTCAAAGAAGCCAGGAAGGACAGTTGTTAGAGGAGAAAAAAAGGCAATGTATTTACTATCTATCGTATACAGTGAATTAAATGAATTGATAAGTATATTGAAGTTAAATCAAATGTCATATGCAGGAAATAACCCTGAAACATTGTTTGTGTACAATATATCTAATATAACTTCTACATGCATATGAATACTCCCAGTGGTTAGACCATTGTGGCATGTTTCAATCAAGATATAACACCAATACGAAGGTCCACAAACACCCCTTACTCCGCATCAGGTGTTCAAGATGCGACCGCCTCTGGAGTGGATAACGCGTCTGTCTAGAAAGTTGGGGTAGCTGAAATACAATGAAGGCGACGTAAAACCCCATTTCACTTCGCATATCGGATGTTAAGACATTTATTTACATTACCTTTTAAAATTCAATTTTACAACATAACATACCACCTGATTTGTGCGTCCAGAATGTTACGTCTGCAACATGACAGCCGTCATTGACCTACGTTGACCAGCAGCAGAATTGAAGCAATGCACATTGTTTTCCAAGAATTACGATTATAAAATTACCGTTGCCATAGAAGGAGATCTGCCGAAATTAGGATATGGAAACATTAAACCAAACAGAGGCATCCACCTTAGACTATAGACCTCAGAGACGAGCTATTGATACAGCTGGATCCAACTGCACCTTTAGATTAAATAAATGTTACAATGGTCATTTCGATACAAATCCAGCTCTGTCGATGACCACTGTCTACTGACCACTGACAACTGATTACTGACAACTGTCCGATGACTGACTGCGGTCCATCGAGTGATCACTGACCACAGTCTACTGACTGCAGACCACGAAGCGATCACCAACCACTGTCTACTGACTGCGGACCACCGACTGACCACTGACCACTATCTACTGACTGCTGACATCAACTGATCACTGCCCACTGTCTTCTGACTGCTGACCACCATGCGATCACTGCCCACTGTCTACTGACTGCGGACCACCACACGATCACTGCCCACTGTCTACTGACTGTGGACCACCACACGATCACTGCCCACTGTCTACTGACCGCCGACCACCACACGATCACTGCCCACTGTCTACTGACAGCTGACAACCACACGATCACTGCCCACTGTCTACTGACTGCGGACCACCACACGATCACTGCCCACTGTCTACTGACCGCCGACCACCATACGATCACTGCCCAGTGTTTCGAACCCGTGTGCATTGTACTGGAAGGCAGGCTCTGGCTTCAATATTCACCAAAGCGTTTGTAAAATATACCCAGGAACATCCTCGCAAAAAGTGGCTGTTAGTGCGAAATGTATCCTTTTAGTAGAAATGTTGGATTTCAAGGCGTTTTAACAATTGTGCTTGATACTTTTCATAAATATACTCTATGAGCACAACTCATTCACGTTAAACCAAATTTATAGCTAAAACATACTTTGACATATTCATTTTACAAGCAATGTGTTACGCCATTATATTACATTTTAAATAATACTAAATATAGGAAAGTCGTTGTGTTTGTTCCAATAATTCTATCGCACCATTCTGAAGTACCAAAATCGCAATTGTCTGGTTAGTATAGGTGGGCTATGTAGCCATGTACTGTGCACATTTCCTTAGAGTCCAGACTGATGGATGAAAATCCCAGCTTCGCCCAACGTTTTCCCACCGATAATCTTTTATCAATCAATTTCAATCCCTCCACCCGTTGGTGATGTGAGTTGAAATTGAGTTTACCTTATTCAAAATGTCCATTTCCTAAATGTCCTATACAGGGAAACAGGCAAACAAGTATTCAGATGGCTCAATATAGACCTGTCGTGATATATAAACACTCTTAAATTACATTAATCATGATTTTCATGCATTTTCCAAAGGTTTCTGTGTACAGGCCTTTGTTGGAGGATACGGAGGAAGGGATGGTCGTGCAGAGTTGCGTCCCTTGTGATTCTGTGTTCTGGGGTTCAAATTCCGGTTCGCCCCGATTATGCTTCAAGGGTGGTCAGCACTACGCCCCGCTCGTGGATTTCACTAAAGAGGTAAACGGTAAATCCAACAGTAACCTCCCAAAACTGGAATATTGTCAAAGGGCCATCATACGAAATAAATGAGCACTGACTCGGTTGTTTGCCGTATATACAAGTTTTTTTTATACAGTTGAAAGTAGTTATGTACAGGAGCGTCATTGTCTTAGGTCAACTTACACATGGGTCCAGTGTAATAAAACACCTAGCCTTACCCTTGGCTAAGTGGGAGAACAAATCCCTACCACCCAAAATCCCCACCCCTTGTTGAAGGTTTACATAGCCAAAGCAATAATCCACAGATTAACTAATGAGTAATAAAAAAAATTACAATGAAGTATAAACTAGGTGCACAGCCCCACGTGGTAGGCTTACAAAGCCAAAGCAATTCTACACAGATTAACTAATGATTAATAACAAAAAAATTTACAATGAAGTATAAACTAGCTGCACAGCCCGATGTGGAAGGCGTACATAGTCAAAGCAATACTACACAGATTAACTTATGATTAACAACAAAATTTACAATGAAGTATAAACTAGGTGCACAGCCCGACGTGGAAGGCTTACATAGCCAAAGCAATAATCCACAGATTAACTATGGTTAATGACAACAACATTTACAATGAAGCATAAACTAGGTGCACAGCCCGATGTGGAAGGCTTACAGTGAACGTATGATACAATATCATGGGGTTAGCAAAGCAGGCTCAGCATGGTCACCACATGTTTCAAAAGATTGGAACATGGTCACATGAAGCATCCGAACGAACTGACAGAGCAGGTGGGTGAGCATTGACACTGTTTTTTTCGTCATGGGAGCTGTAGATCGGGTTGTCCTCCATCACTGTGATTAGAAGAAGAGAAGAATTAATTCATTTTCGACGTGATGTGTTTTGGGTCGAGAATTGGCACATCATCGTTACTGTTTTATAGCGCACACTGTGAAACGTATTCTGTCTCTAACACATGTGTGTACATTCAAATACGTGCTAACAAATTATAAAACAAAAGATAAACCGGGTCCTATTGTATCACCCATCTAGATGTGTGTGTGTTGGGATTTACGCCGCCCTGAAGACTTTACGACACTTATATGTGCACACGCTGCAGAATACTCCAGACATTAGTTGGAGAACAAACCTCTTTATCCCTAATGTTATCAATAAAATTTGAAATGATCCTCCATCGACAACCTTTCCATTATTTTTGATGTACTAAATATTTATAAATATCAGTCCAAAATGTTAAGTAATTCGAAAGGAAAACGTGGTAGATCAAAGCTAAAATAGTATCCTATTACACACAAATGATATGCTTATTGTTTTATCTTTAAACAAATGTCCAACTTAGGTTAATTAGGGTCTGATATAAAATATTAACGTTCAAGCAGTACATATCAAGGACATATCATGCTTTGTAACTGCGTGTAGAACTAGATAGTTTAATTCCTGCCTCCTCTCTGTGAATTCATCCCACGTTCTATGTCTATCTGACGTCTGTCTGTATCGTGTCTGGACAAGACAATACAGTGATTGACATTATGAGCAGCAATCCACCCTGTTTGGGTACGTTGACACGCCATCACATAAGTGGACGTTTGACCACCCGATCCATAAAGTCGCCTCTTCTAGCCCCAAATCCCCTCGGGGCTAGTAACGCCTTATTGACAAGTAAACCGTCACACGAGATGCTAAAGGTTGCACACCCAGACATGTCACTTACCCACAGACTCATATGATCCTTGGTCTCTGTGGAACAAACACAACAGTACAGTGTACAACATACTTAACTATTCCCCTTGGAACCGATGCTAAAATAACAAACAAACTAAGCATATAATCTTCAGGTTTAATTAGATGAACATTCTTTCTTTCATATACTTGAATAAAAGATTTCATATTTTGTTTACGTTTTAGAATAGAGCTTGTACGACAAAGTAAATAATATTTTTTTTAAATTATAATTGTCAAGAGATATTATTTTTAACTGCACGTATTTTGATGGTACAAACATGTAAATAAAGTTACTACTTACTGTTCACTCTGTTTTGATTTCGGTCCAGCTGAAGTATAATTTGTAAACATACTTTATTCACGGCGAGAAATGAAAATAAAATAATCATCAACCCTGAGAATGATCTCATCCGTATTTTTAACAATTTCATGTATACAAAAAAATCATTTAAATTCCTGTGCGTACACCATTATGGGCAAATACATAACTTGTTTAAGAGTTTTAATGGCTCTTAGCAATAGTGCAGCAATACCATGATGGACAAAAGAAACCGGACTCACACATTGTACAAACGTGGGAATCAAACCAGGGCGTTGGCGTGACGTGTGTTCTATTTAAGCACAAGGCTACCCCATCGGCCACGTTATGCAAGAGTGACTTGCTGAGCATGTTTTAGGGCACCGAAGCTTAATTGCATCCACTCTAGGTGTGATACATTGTCATTACGGCATAACATTATTGGGGGACAACATTGATACCAAATGCACAGAAGCAATACGACTTCACTATGGTTGCAAAATACAACGCCATTTTGGGGTGTTGTTACTACATTAGACCCTTCAAAAAAACCATACCATTTGCAGTGTTCCTTGCTCGCCTTGACCTGAGAAGGCCAACCACGGTAGCAACAACGGCAAGTAGAACCAAGGCGCCACTCGCTGCTGCACCTATAAGCTGAGGTGTGGAGTCTGTAATCTCTTCTCCATTGCCAACACCTGAAGATTACATGAGAGATATTCTAGTTGGGTACCTCTTACTTAACTTTTTTGTGAACATCCCCATTCATGAAATCAGAATATTTGAACGACAAATATATATATTTGTTTTAACAATTTTACCCTTTTTCACTGGACGAGAGGTCGGTCACATGACAGCAATACTGACGTTCATAAGAAAATGAACGACGCAATTTGACGCTCATACGTTTTTCACGAAACTGTATTCTTGAAAGGACGTAAACACTTACGGACTACTTCGACATTCCTTGGGATACCCCGAGGAGTTCTCACAAACGGATACATAAAGATGCGTTCTGTCTGATCATTTAAACCATTTAATCTTGAACACAGCGTATTCGCCCACGACTATCCTCGCTATGACCTATCTTTGTGAACAAACGAAGCGAGTGACATCCAAGCTATTGTATCGACTCGACCTGTGTCTAGCCTGACAGTGACAGTCTGCAGCAATCTCTGAATTTACCTTATTAGTTTTAATTTGACACATCTCTACAATCACCCTTCAATGAGCTGCCAACACACACACACACACACACACACACACACATACACACACACACGCACGCACGCATGCACGCACACACAGAGCGGGTTAAAACGATACTTTACTGACTGATTGACTGACTGACTCGCAATCACTTACGCAATCTCTAACACATGGCCCCTTAGTTCGAAGGGAATGGGTAATATACCCGAAGAGTTTAGCACAAAAGACACGCTTGCAAAGACATGCCAATCTAATATGTGGCGCAGAAACCCCTCTTATAGTATGGAGATCCATGTCAAGGGTATACATGAACCTCAATTACCTTATTCTTTAAATGGAAAAATTTCAAACAATGGTCTTGTGAAGTGTTATGAAATTAAAGGATATGCTCATCGCATCCACACACCATTCACACAGAAGAATGTATACACGTATGTACCAGGTCAGGAACGTGAGAAATACATCGATGTTCTCAAACAGACAATAATACAACATCTGTTGTGAATAATACTTGCGCTGAGTACTTCAATTAAAATGAGTACAATTGTCAATATTGTAAAGGTTTAAGTTAAGAGTAATAGCCTTATCCTTGCATCTATAAATGAAATATTTGACAAAAAATATAATGAATTCAAAGACTTTGTCAGTGTAAACAGTATTTTTACATCCGTACAATATAAACTATTGGTCATGTATAATAAGCTCCTATGTATACATGAGAACATTTAGCTTGTTTTTAACCATCCATCAGGGATTTCCAAAATATGTTTTCTTTTTCATATTCACATAACAAATGTATACTAGATTCGGTTTTTAACATGCAAAAACTACATAGATCATTTGATCGCAATTTTTGAGTGAGTGAGTGAGTGAGTGAGTGAGTAGGTGGGTGGGTGGGTGGGTGGGTGGGTGGGTGGTGAGTGAGTGAGTGAGTGAGTGAGTGAGTGAGTGAGTGAGTGAGTGATCGCATGTTTTACTTTACAAAGAATTCTGAATTTACAAAGTTTGTTGTATGGATTCTATGACTAATTCTGTATTGGGTGAGTGAGTGAGTATGGTTTTATGCCGTTTTTAGCAATATCACGGCTGGGGACACCGGCTTCACACATTGCACCCATGTAGGGAATAGAAGATCGGCGGCGGGACGCGCCAAAGCCTTTAACCACAAGCTTTCCCAACGCCCCTTGTTCTGTATTGAATCCATCTCAGCCTTGTATATCTCGTTGTTGAAAAAAGGCTTCACATATATCTGTTACCAGTCTGGTGTTTTATCTAAATGTATGCTCCCATTTGTGTTGCGAATCTGCCAACGTTAATATTTGGATTATAAAATGAAGGGGCAGTAATACATTTGCCAAAGTTTAAATGGTGTACTTTGGAATCCTGATGTTTTTAAGGTTTTGGGTGTAAAGTTATCTACTAATATGGAAGAAATTGCTCATCGAGGTCTTAACCTTTCTGGAAAGTTATTTGAAACTGAACAAATAACTCATAGATTGATGAAGAGAACTATTACGCCCCTTCGCAGTATTGCTATAATGGCTTTTATTACCCACGTGATGCAGATGCAGGTGGTGAAATACGTCATGTCACGCATGTTCCGTACAAGGTTGAGCTCGTTTTATTCGTTTTGATTGGATAACCGTGACGTCTATCATAACGGAACTACTTGTTTCATTCACAAAAACCACCAAAAAAAACCCCAAAAAACAACAACACGAGACGTCGTTCACTTTTACAACTGCAAGGCAGAACTTTAGGAATCGCATGAATGCGAGAGACATTTATGCATAGAGAGACACTTTAGTAAACCAAACAAGATAATCACACGCTTCAAATTCACTTTGCATTCTATATTAGTTATGCATGCTGCTAATACAGACATTACACAATCGAGCTATATCCATTTGCAATGTACGATTACCGATAGATCCAGGGTCCCACTGAGCGTGACGCACCCGACCAGTCTCGCGACTTTCAATTTGATTTTACGTAAAAGGGGTGAATTGAAGTCAGTTTAAACAATCCGGACAGTTATCTAGACTCACGTTGGAAGCTCCGACGTGCGCCGTTAGTGTCCCCTTCGAAACGTATTATGTGGGACTGCTTCCGAGGGTGAATGAAAGTACACGACTGCACGACCAGATAACTAAAAGTCAACAGTTCCGATACAAGTCTTTCGAAAACTCCGCGGAAATGTGTCTGACTTCTGATTTCGTGACCCCCAAACACCCAAAAGGTTAACAATAACGCTGTGAGTAGATCACGGTTGTCTTTTCTTCTTCCGAAGGTGATCTTGCCCTGTCACTGACATGCAAGAAGATTTGCGTTTGTCGATTTTCACGTCTTCAGTACAAGGTCGTAAAGTTAAGTCTTTGGCGTGCACTCTGATTTCCTCTTCAGAAATGGTACGGACAGGATACAAATTCAGCTGATAGATCAAGGAAACCGAACGATTTTGATTGCACAGCCGGGACCTCGTCGGAGCGAGTGACCGAGTGTTGCGCCGAGATTCATTGACTTTTAACGTTTCCTTATACTTGTCCTGCGTACTAACAACATTGCTCAGAATTACTATAAGTTGACTAAATTCTTTACAAAGTGCTGTCATGTTTGCACACACAACAGGAACATGTTGTTAATGTGTATGCATAGAAATGTCAAAAATGCCCATATGTGGGCATATATTAATATGATTTGCAAACCGGTTTCAGTTTAGTTTGTTAACGAACGAAAGTTGTTTCATGTATTTTCAAATGAATACAGAATTAATGTGGGTAAGTAATAAACTACTACACTCATTCTCGTTAGATACCATTTTTTACGTGAACTTTCTATGGTATATGACCTCGCAAAAGTGGTATTCTCTACATACAGTTGAATTATCTTTTTGTGACTTTACCAACCTCACAAAAGATTTTCTGAATAGTAACATAACATATTGTTTAAATTCTTGTGGAATAAAAAAACAGATAAAATAAATCGAAGTACAATATGCAAATCAGTTTAAGAGGGAGGTCTTGGCATAACTGATAGTGCTACTTTTGTTCAGTCCCTGAAATTGATATGGATAAGAAAATTGGCTGATGTGAATCTGGAGAATGTATGAAAACAAATCTTTTCGTTTCACGAAAATTATAATATTTTTTCTCAAAATGAGATGTGATTGTCAGAAAAAACCTGGAAAGAGTAAAACTAACTTTTGGAAAGACTGTTTAATATATACATGTACATGTATTAAACAATTAAGCTGGACTTCTCAAACTAATAACATTTCAGAAGAGTACGTGTGTGTGCAAGGGGGTGGGGGATTGACATGCTGGCTTCAATGTTGATCACGATGCCCACATCAAGGTTTGGGCTAATACTGGCCGGCCTATAGAGCAGTGACCATGTCTTTGAGTGAGTGAGTGAGTGAGTATGGTTTTACGCCGCTTTTAGCAATATTCCAGCAATTTCACGGCGGGGGACACCAGAAAAGGGCTCAACACATTGTACCCATGGCGGGAATCGAACCCGGGTCTTCGGCATGACGAGCGAACACTTTATATAAATTAACCACTAGGCTACCCGACCGCCCCACCATGTCTTTGAAAATTATCAAACTGAAAGAAAACCTTCTTACATCCGAAACATTTTGGTCATGTCGCGCACATGACATTTAAGCCAATCTTAATTAGTGACATAGTTAACTCATTCCACGATTTACCCAATGTGGATAACATTCATTGAGGACCAATGGTATTAACGGTGCGTGGTTTATACTCTCAAAAATGAATACGTGTGTAATTCTTACGTGCCTGTAAGGATGTTAAGAGAGAAAGTAATAGTAAACTTACTTATGTTTTGAACGTGAAGAGCAACGAACTGGCTTTGATGTCTTTTCTTCCCAATTAGGACGACACAGAACCAGTCAGCCTCATAACGGATATCGACGTGTCTTATCCTCAGCGTGAATTGTCCATTTTTGCAGTCCGTCTGTTGTACATACAGGCCTGGCAATGTTTGCATCCTCAGTTGACACTTGTTGTTGAAAAACTCCACATCAGCTGTTTTATTTCTTTCGTAGTTTCTGTACCATTCAACGTTGACAACATCTAAAGCTTCTGTGCGACACACGAAGGTAATATTCAGACCTGTTGCGACCGTTTCGTTTGTACCGTCGCTGGGTTTAGCAAATATTATTATTTCTTTGTTGGCATCGAATGTGATTTCTGAAAGACACAAAAATGGAATCCGCATTCAGGAAGGTGCATGTACAATCTACCTTTGTTCACAGCCTTTATAACATCACACACTCACGGTAGCATGAAAAAACGAGTACCAACAGGGCACAGGGCGCCAGGAAAATGAAACTCTAACCCTGAACCTAATAACATCACACACTCACGGTAGCATGAATAACGAGGACCAACAAGGCACATGGCGCCAGGTAAACGTAACCCTAACATTGACCCTAATAACATAACACACTCACGGTAGCATGAATAACGAGGACCAACAGGGCACATGGCGCCAGGTAAACGTGACCCTAACATTGACCCTAATAACATCACACACTCACAGTAGCATGAATAACGAGTACCAACAGGGCACATGGCGCCAGGTAAACGTAACCCTAACATTGACCCTAATAACATCACACACTCACGGTAGCATGGATAACGAGGACCAACAAGGCACATGGCGCCAGGTAAACGTAACCCTAACCCTAATAACATCACACACTCACGGTAGCATGGATAACGAGGACCAACAAGGCACATGGCGCCAGGTAAACGTAACCCTAACATTGACCCTAATAACATCACACACTCACGGTAGCATTGATAACGAGGGCCAACAAGGCACATGGCGCCAGGTAAACGTGACCCTAACCCTAACCTAATAACATCACACACTCACGGTAGCATGAATAACGAGGACCAACAAGGCACATGGCGCCAGGAAAACGTAACCCTAACCCTAATAACATCACACACTCACGGTAGCATGGATAACGAGGACCAACAAGGCACATGGCGCCAGGTAAACGTGACCCTAACCCTAATAACATAACACACTCACGGTAGCATGGATAACGAGGACCAACAAGGCACATGGCGCCAGGTAAACGTGACCCTAACCCTAATAACATCACACACTCACGGTAGCATGGATAACGAGGACCAACAAGGCACATGGCGCCAGGTAAACGTAACCCTAACATTGACCCTAATAACATAACACACTCACGGTAGCATGGATAACGAGGACCAACAAGGCACATGGCGCCAGGTAAACGTGACCCTAACCCTAATAACATCACACACTCACGGTAGCATGGATAACGAGGACCAACAAGGCACATGGCGCCAGGTAAACGTAACCCTAACATTGACCCTAATAACATCACACACTCACGGTAGCATGGATAACGAGGACCAACAAGGCACATGGCACCAGGTAAACGTGACCCTAACATTGACCCTAATAACATCACACACTCACGGTAGCATGGATAACGAGGACCAACAAGGCACATGGCGCCAGGTAAACGTAACCCTAACATTGACCCTAATAACATCACACACTCACGGTAGCATGGATAACGAGGACCAACAAGGCACATGGCACCAGGTAAACGTAACCCTAACCCTAATAACATCACACACTCACGGTAGCATGGATAACGAGGACCAACAAGGCACATGGCGCCAGGTAAACGTAACCCTAACATTGACCCTAATAAAATCACACACTCACGGTAGCATGAATAACGAGGACCAACAAGGCACATGGCGCCAGGTAAACGTAACCCTAACCCTAATAACATCACACACTCACGGTAGCATGAATAACGAGGACCAACAAGGCACATGGCGCCAGGTAAACGTAACCCTAACCCTAATAACATCACACACTCACGGTAGCATGGATAACGAGGACCAACAAGGCACATGGCACCAGGTAAACGTAACCCTAACCCTAATAACATCACACACTCACGGTAGCATGGATAACGAGGACCAACAAGGCACATGGCGCCAGGTAAACGTAACCCTAACATTGACCCTAATAAAATCACACACTCACGGTAGCATGAATAACGAGGACCAACAAGGCACATGGCGCCAGGTAAACGTAACCCTAACCCTAATAACATCACACACTCACGGTAGCATGAATAACGAGGACCAACAAGGCACATGGCGCCAGGTAAACGTAACCCTAACCCTAATAACATCACACACTCACGGTAGCATGGATAACGAGGACCAACAAGGCACATGGCACCAGGTAAACGTAACCCTAACCCTAATAACATCACACACTCACGGTAGCATGAATAACGAGGACCAACAAGGCACATGGCGCCAGGTAAACGTAACCCTAACCCTAATAACATCACACACTCACGGTAGCATGAATAACGAGGACCAACAAGGCACATGGCGCCAGGTAAACGTAACCCTAACCCTAATAAAATCACACACTCACGGTAGCATGGATAACGAGGACCAACAAGGCACATGGCGCCAGGTAAACGTAACCCTAACCCTAATAACATCACACACTCACGGTAGCATGGATAACGAGGACCAACAAGGCACATGGCACCAGGTAAACGTGACCCTAACCCTAATAACATCACAAACACTCACGGTAGCATGAATAACGAGGACCAACAAGGCACAGGGCGTTACAGAATGTATGACCAGAGGCTGAGTAGGTGGTTCATCTGAGTTATATGCCTTCATCCATTAGACTTGATAAATACCAATGCACACATGAGTGTACACACAATGGAACAAAAGGTAACAATAAACAAATAATGATTGCGTGGATCGTTCTGTATTGTTTTCAAACAGTTTGCCTTGTCCAGATTGGATTACTTAGACTGCAGACCAGTGATACTGAAGACTTGGCTCGCTCTCTGTATATTCTTACCATCGCTGATTCTCTGTGTGTGTGTCTGTCAGACACTGTGATCAGGCATGGTGACTTGGTTGATTGCGGATTGTCGCTCATAACATTAACCACTGGTTTATCTGTAGATATACTACTTGATAAATCTCAATCACGTTGAGCAGTATCGCTATATATTCTGACGATAGCCAGAATGAACACAATTGTACACATATGTGGTATTATACATACCTTGTTGTTCTCCATGCACCACATGTGTGTAAAAATGCATAACTAGTCCGTACCAGAATACTACATGTGTTTCATATCCCATGGTGCAGTGATAGTGTCAGACAAGTACCGAGACATTTGACCCTAAGACTATACTTAGCGAAGTGCATCCTCATCATCGAGTGAGGCCCCATCACCCGCATCCTTCCGCCAGCGGAACAAGCACTATGCAGTCACTTGTGACTTTATGGAATGACTTACTTCCTTGTGGTGAAACTGTAATCTATTGATTCTGTTCAGGTCCATTCACTATGAAGATGTTCAGCTAATTAATTGTTAAGTGTTTTTCATTTAACGTCGCACTCAGCAATAGTCCAGCAATATGCAAAAGGTCTGTAAATATGTGTACATTCATGTTATATCAGTTGTTGTCACTCTACGTACAATTAAGTAGAACATACTCTAACAAGCATCGCAAACATACACACTCACCAAAGACCACAAGACCTTTTCTCTACACCAAATTACAATCGTTGAAGCTCAGATATCAATGGGGGAACATCCTGAACTGTGAGATTCTAACGAAGATCTGGTGGTGCTGGGATGTTAGGTCACACTGACATGGCACTTTGACATGAACAAGGAACCTGAGATGACACGATAGCCTGCTGAGGACATTGTTCCTGTGAGTCATACAACTCCTTGGCAGTAGTTGAATTTTGCGATGGCATCAGTATGTATAATGATTAAACCCAAGTATGTTTAGTATGACATAGTCATCGCACATTACAATCCTCAATCTGGTGTAATGAACACATCATAATACGCTTGATACGCAGCATAGACATTTAAATTGTGTTCCTTATAGAAGACTTTTATTCATCAGAGAGCTAAAAATGACCATTAATATAGTGGCGCATTATTATCGGGGCGCATATAAGAAACAATGACGTACATGACAATGCACCCAGTAAACAATACAAATGAGGGAAAGATGTCACGTCTCACACAACAATACAATGTCAAGTGCCGTCAGTTCCCCTACACAAGTTGATCAAGCAGCTCTGACAGTCGCCAACCGTGTATGGCCGCTTCTATTATTTGGGAGTACTGCAAGAAGATGACACTGCCTGTAGTTGTCAACCCTCTGCAGGGTGGTGGGGTAGCCTAGTGGTTAAAGCGTTCGCTCGTCAAGACCAGGGTTCGATTCCGAGACATAGGTACAATGTCTGGTGTCCCTCGCCGTCAGGTCGAAGACCAGGGTTCGATTCCCGACATGGGTACAATGTCTGGTGTCCCTCGCCGTCAGGTCGAAGACCAGGGTTCGATTCCGAGACATGGGTACAATGTCTGGTGTCTCTCGCCGTCAGGTCGAAGACCAGGGTTCGATTCCCGACATGGGTACAATGTCTGGTGTCTCTCGCCGTCAGGTCGAAGACCAGGGTTCGATTCCCGACATGGGTACAATGTCTGGTGTCCCTCGCCGTCAGGTCGAAGACCAGGGTTCGATTCCGAGACATAGGTACAATGTCTGGTGTCTCTCGCCGTCAGGTCGAAGACCAGGGTTCGATTCCCGACATGGGTACAATGTCTGGTGTCTCTCGCCGTCAGGTCGAAGACCAGGGTTCGATTCCCGACATGGGTACAATGCCTGGTGTCCCTCGCCGTCAGGTCGAAGACCAGGGTTCGATTCCCGACATGGGTACAATGTCTGGTGTCCCTCGCCGTCAGGTCGAAGACCAGGGTTCGATTCCGAGACATAGGTACAATGTCTGGTGTCCCTCGCCGTCAGGTCGAAGACCAGGGTTCGATTCCCGACATGGGTACAATGTCTAGTGTCCCTCGCCGTCAGGTCGAAGACCAGGGTTCGATTCCCGACATGGGTACAATGTCTGGTGTCCCTCGCCGTCAGGTCGAAGACCAGGGTTCGATTCCCGACATGGGTACAATGTCTGGTGTCCCTCGCCGTGATTTTGCTGGAACATTGTTAAAGCAGCGTTAAACCACACCCATATGCATTATGCTCACACCCAATTCTGCTGTTAGTGAAATACTTTCCTCAGTTACCGACTGCAATCGTGGCTTAGTCACACGTTAGTCAACTGTGACATGAATCGAGGAAGTGAGAGAAATATGACACAAGGATTTCACATCAGTAAGGATAATATCGTTGATAATATGTCTATGTGTGCTTAGGGTGGGGCCTTTATGAATTTTCTGAGTCATGTTATAATCAGTTTTTACTTTTCAGCAGTGCGGAAGATGAAAACGAAACACTCAACTGACTGAACAGCAGGCGACGTATTTATTACACCTGAATGTTAACGTTCAAGTTAGAATGCCTTTGGAGGTGGATTATAAAATGATATGTGAAATAAGTGGAATATTCAATCATGAGTGGAATAAGGATCTTATTAGTTGTCATATAAAGAGTAGCGCTGTAGAAGCGATAAGCAGAACCGATGAACTTAGAACCACGAGTTAATAGATAGATGTAAGCTGCTCGGCGAATACACTAATTCTAAGTTACTGCACTGACAGTTATTACGTTTTTAATATTATATTTTGGGGGGGGATTAAACATATGTAAAAAAGACACAACTACCTTCGAGTACTACTGTAATGTAAGCATCATACTTGTGCTTGTGGGTTTCACCAAAGTGGTAATAACAGCGACAAAACCCTTTACATTTTCATATGAAACTTCTAACAGCAGTATCCAGTGTACATTTTCGACGATATCATAAGCATGAGTTTATGAAGCACAACAGTGGCACCCGTCACAAACACATGCACACCACAAGGGTTGAATGTATAAATGTTAAGTCATCCCTTTTGTCATACAGTCTTGTGATGTTTTTTGTCTTACTGAAACGTCCACATATTAAAAAGATGAGGCGTTTTGACTGACTTTATTTATTTATAGCTCAGGTGGGTAAATCAATTGTAGGGAATTGCCTATTTAACCATTATCGAACGATCATGTATTGGCACAAATCCCCTGTTTACATTGGCCAGTTCGAGCAGAAATACAGAATCTGAAATTAAGACTTTATCACATATCAGAAATAGTTATAATAGTATTATCTCATCTGTTCATTAATGCCATGCAGCAGTATGCATGTTCTGAAATACTGCCATGACTGAAGTTGCCGGGGTTTGCCACACAACAACCTGTTTGGCGCATTGGGAAATGGACACCTCCTGACTTCAAATCCGTTAGGTCCAGTCGTCTAAGGCGCCGCGATTTGCTGTTGCGTCTCTTGGGCACGCCATAAATCTAGGGTTATGGATTCGAATCCCGGTTCGCCCCGATTATGTTTCTAGGTTTGTCAGCACCATACCCGTGCTCGTTGGTTTCACCGAAGTGGTAAACGTCTGAGACCTGCATCACTTCCGCCTTTCCTCCCACTTTAAGCTGACACGCCGTGATATGACTGGAATAATGTTAAAAGCGGCGTTAAACCCAACTCACTCACTCACTCACTCAAATCCGTTAATATTCATCTTGGTAAGGGTACATGGAGTTAGCTTGGTTACTTGTCAGTAGCACCCGTGCCAGGAATGACCCCAACACTCCACCCACATGCACCCATTAAGTCAAGTAGCTTCATTAAATGTTAGGGCAAAATAGATAAATACTTGAAGGAACCTATTTGGCAAGTGCTGTATAGGATAAACCTTTTGTTAATGGTGTTAGCGTCCTTGTTTCGGTTGGTATATATTTCCCTCACGAAAGCTATTGTTGTTGGTTTTATTACTGTGTATGTTTGAGTTTCATTTTACTCCAACTTTCCTCATACACATTCATGATTAACATAACAAGCGAGCTGGTGTGTACGCGTTACGGAAGTGTGAGGTGTGGTCAGGAGGTGAAACACATGGTAAAGGAGATATATGCAGCTTGGTGAATGAACAAATATCATTTTTATGAATCAGCACACGAAATCAACACACGAGGTTAAAGAGGAAACTTTGTTTTCGGGCTTTCATTTGCCGGGTAAACGAGGTGATTTTAATGTTACCCGTGCTGCGTAGTGAAGTCATCCACGGGCCTCTTGTCAGACGAAATGGCGGCTGATACTGTAAGTAAATACACAATGTTCATAACAGTGAGTGAGTGAGTGATGTTAACTTAAAGGAATATTTCCGCAATATCATGTCGCGGGACCATTTGGCTGTGGGGAGCGAACGTCTTAACCACTAAGATTTCCTAACGCCCCGCGTTCATTATTGAGATAAAGTTATATAATACTATCGTGTGAAGGTTCAACACGAATATGTATTCATCGATATTGGTATTTTGTTCTTTCGAACACCCACACAGGAGAATGTCATTAAGAGAGATGGTGTTCATTATCACGTTCAAGGTTATTTCAATGATATGGTTGTGTTCCTCACCCCTAAGCGGGATCTGCTGATCATTATTTCTGATGTCAGACTTTGCTCCTTTTAAGATACTCGATCTGTAAACACCATACCCAATGTTCAAGAGTTTCATATACAATGTTTCCCTAACAGTATGTGTTTCGATTATGAATTCCACATGTTCGGACTTGTTCAAGAAATTGTATAGCTCAGAACATTACATGTATGTAACGCAATGGTCAAGCAGCGCCACATTGACCGTAGCAGAGAGAACATTACATGTATGTAACGCAATTGTCAAGCAGCGCCACATTGACCGTAGCAGAGAGAACATTACAGGTTTGTAACGCAATGGTCAAGCAGCGCCACATTGACCGTAGCAGAGAGAACATTACAGGTTTGTAACGCAATGGTCAAGCAGCGCCACATTGACCGTAGCAGAGAGAACATTACATGTATGTAACGCAATGGTCAAGCAGCGCCACATTGACCGTAGCAGAGAGAACATTACAGGTTTGTAACGCAATGGTCAAGCAGCGCCACATTGACCGTAGCAGAGAGAACATTACATGTATGTAACGCAATGGTCAAGCAGCGCCACATTGACCGTAGCAGAGAGAACATTACAGGTTTGTAACGCAATGGTCAAGCAGCGCCACATTGACCGTAGCAGAGAGAACATTACAGGTTTGAAACGCAATGGTCAAGCAGCGCCACATTGACCGTAGCAGAGAGAACATTACATGTATGTAACTCAATGGATGGTCAAGCACCGTCACAGTGACTGTAGCAGAGAGAACATTACATG